GGGGGGGGGGGGAAGGAAAGAGCTGTTCCCCTCCTCCTGGCTCCTTTGTATGTCTCCACTGCCTGAGCCAGTGGGCCGGGCACACAGGTGTAAGTTTTTGTCCCAGAGCAGCCGGATATGGATTCCTGCTCTCCACAAGCAGCCGGAATCCCAGTCTCCCCAGGAACTCTCCCTATATTAACTTTCCATGAGAGTCTCATGAAAGCACCATGAAATGTAGGTTTGTGCTCAGAGCGCAGATCTCCAGAGCTAGGTACTCAGCAGTCCCAGGCCTCCACTCCCTCCCTGCTCCGTTTCTTCCTCCCGCCGGTGAGCTGGGGTCGGGGAGGGGCTCGGGTCCCGCGGAGCCACAGCTCTGGTACGATGCCCCGTTCGCTGAGGTCTGCTCTTTTCTCCAGGTGTGTGCAGGCTGACGCCGTCCTCTTTCCTGTTGCTCTCCCAGGATTAGTTGCGCCAATTAAATTTTCTAATTGTATCCAGTTTTAGGAGGAAGCCTGACTCTCCTCTCACGCCGCCATCTTTAATCCATTCACCTCACTTTTTAGATTCTTACTCATTACCATGAATATCTGCCTGGCACAATATTCCTCTCCTCTCTCTTCTTGTTCTTGTGTTTATGGATGGAAATGATCTGAGGAAGAATGAGGCTGGTTGTCTGATGTTTAAGTAAGGATGGCATAAAAGTTTGAATAACATTGAATGGAAGAAAAGGAATATTGCAATGTTATCTTGCATTTTACCAGGAATCTGTAAAAAGAAGGAAGTAGAACAAGAACCATTAATGGAAAAATCAACATCTAACTCTGATATGCAGTTACCAAATATGTCAGTGAGGATGTCTATTTCTAATAACACCCACTTATCTTAATTTCTCCTCTTTGGCATCCCGGGGCTGGAAGATGTGCACGTGTCGATTGGGTTCCCCTTTCCTTTGTGTGTGTGGTTGCATTCCTGTGAAATGCTGCGGTCCTGTTTGTATCCTGACTGCGCATACTTTCCATAAGCCCATGTACTATTTTCTATATTGGATTCTATTGACTTGGGCCTGGTCATGGCCACTGCTCCTAAAATTCTGGGCACCTTCTGGTTCACTCTCAGGGAGCTAGATAGACAGACATGTAGACAGATAATAGATTTAGTAAAAAAACACTTACAGTAAATACAGTAGAAAAAAACCTTATCTGTTAACCATTTTTAAGCATGCACTTCGGTAGTGTTAACTATATTCACAATGTGTGTAATGAATCTCTAGAATTCATTTTTCAAAACTGGAGCTCTATAGCCATTGGGCAACTCTCCCCACCCCAACTCCCTGACAACCATCATTCTATTTTCTGTTTCTATGATATTGACTACTTTAGATACCTCACGTAAGTGTAATCACACTGTATTTGTCTTTTTGTGACTGGTTCATTTCACTTAGTTCATTCATGTTGTGGCCTGTGTCAGTACTGTACTCCATTTCGTGGTTGAACAACATTCCATTGTTTGGTTAACCTTATTTTGTTTATCCATCTGTTGGTGAACATTTGCATTGTTTCCACCTCTCAGCTCTTAAGAACAGTGTTGCTATAAACATCTGTGTACAAGGTTTTTGTGTGGCTATGTTTTCATTTCTTTTGGATATACACCTAGATGTGGAATTGCAAGGTTTATAGTAATTGGTTTCCTCAGCTGAGAAAGTGCCAGACCACTTTCCAAAGTAGCTGTAACACTTTTACATCCCTACCAACGGCTATGAGGGTTCCAATTTCTCCACATCCTTGGCAACACTTACTTTTATCTGATTTATTTATTCCAGCACTCTTTTTAGTGCAAAGCGAAACCTTATTGTGGTTTTTATTTGCATTTCCCTAATGGTTAGTGATGTTGAGCATTAGCCATTTACAAATCTTCCTTGGAAAAATGTCTTTCTAAATCCTTTGCCCATCTTTAAATTGGGTTATCCTTTTATTATTGAGTTGTAAGAGTATATCTTTTAGATATAAGCCCCTTATCAGAATTGCAGGTATTTTCTCCCATTGTGTAGATCATCTTTTCAGTCTTTTTAATATAGGCAAAGTATATCTACAAATTTCCCTCTGGTTGCTATTTTCACTCTTAAGTGTTGGTATGTTGTGTATTCATTTTCATTCATCTCAAAGTATTTTTTTGTGATGAGTCTCTTCTGTATTGCTGCTTTTGAAATTTTCCATCTTTCATCTTTGGAGAGTTTGATTTTGATGTGTCTGGGTATGGATCTCTTTGAGTTAGTCTTACTTGGAGTTCATGGAGCTTCTTGAATGTGTAGATTAATTTTTGTCATAAAATATGGGAAGTTTTGAGCCATTATTTCTTCAAATACTCTTTCTGCTGTCCTTATGTATGTTTGTACGCTGCATGGTGTCCCGTATGTGTCTGAGCCTCTGTTGATTTTTCTTCATTCTTCCTAGTCCTCAGAATATTAATTTCAATGAACCTATCTTCAGGTTTGCTGATTTTTTCTCCCTGGTCATATCTGCTGATAAGAGCCCTCTAGTGAATTTATCTCAATTGTTGTACTTTCCAACTCTTTTTAGTTACTGTCTATACATCCTGTGTCTTTACTGATATTCTCTATTTGGTGAGACATCATTCCTGTATATTCTTTCCTTTAGTTCTTTGGACATGTTCTTCTTTAGCTCTTTGCACATATTTAAAACAGCTGATTTAAGATATGGTACTAGGGTAAGTTAAAAACATTACAAAGCTTGCTGTTCTTTCCAAGATCCTACTGTTGCTTAACCGAATGCTTTCTGGGTTGCTGCAAGCCTTTGGTTAATTTCCGGAGTTGTGAGAAAGTTGATTCTGATAATGTGGCAAGTTTTTCATTGCTTTTATGGAGGGAGCAAATTTTTGATGGTTCTTACTGGGTTACTTTTGTTGATCCCTGGCTTTGATTCTGATCTGAACCAACTACAAAGAGATATTTTTGAGGCAATTGATAAAAACTGAGCAGACTTGTTAGCAGATTATTAAAATTTTTATTCTGATAGGAAAATTGCATTTAGGATATATATGTAAGATATAGATATAATATATGTCCATCCCGTCTGTTAGAGCTACATAGTGGCATTTAGAGTTTGCTTTTCTTTTTTTTTCAAATGCTTCAGCTCACATGCAGGGAGAGGAGGTGCGGGAGGAGAGGCAGGAAATAACGGCACATGCTGATAGTTGTTGGAGCTGGGTGATGGGTACATGGAGGTTCACTTCCAATTTTATTTTTGTGCTTGAAAATTTTCTATAATGTTTTTAAAAAGAGGAAGGAGACCCTTGGGTCCAAACAAGGCTGCCTTGAACTGGGAAAAAAAATTGAATCCCTGACTGACCTTAGGTAGAAGATAGGCAGGGTGTGGGTGGTGAGAGACCGAAGGCTAGAGAGAAAGAATCAATCAGGCACCCCCGTGATAAAGGAACAAATTATATGGCAAGTAAAGACATGTAACCGTCTCTGGGTCTGGACCGACTGCCAAGCCCAGGCTGCTCCCTAGCTGCAGCTCCCGATTCCATGGTCTAAACCACTGTACTCAACCCCATCCCAGGGTGGTGGGAAAGACTTCTTTCCTGGGACTGGCAAAATAAAGTGCTCTGTCCTGAGACCTTCTGTTTGACTTGAACAGCACTATGACCAAGACCCAAAGCCGGAGCTATGTATGCTCAGGGTGATGGGCCTCCAAGAGCGGAGGCCTGGGATGAGGCAAGTCCTGTCCTCCTGAGGGGCCCATAGTCTCAAGACCACCAACCGGAAAAAGGGAGCTTTCTCTGATGACTCCGGACTAAGCCAGTGAAGCTCCGGTGATATAAATGGCACTATAAAATGTTTAAGTTCTTTACACCATATTCTAAATACAAGGACTTCACATCCCAAGGGCGGGTGTGTGAGAGATCCACCTGCAAGAGTTTCCACAGGCCAGGCCAGCCAAGGCCTGGGGCACTGGGCGCTCCCACATTCAAGGCCCAAGGGAAAACTACCTAGCCTGCTTTGCTTTACAAACGGGGAGAAGAGTCACCAGGGAAGAGAGGTGCCCTGTGGCCTCAGCTGTAGGGAAAGGGTGTGAGAAATGGGAGCCAAAGAAAGGCAGTCAAAACCTGCCATTCTTTGACTTCACCCAGGAGGAGAAACAGGAAATATATTTCAAGACACAAAGAGCCCCTGGACTTGTCTTTGGACCCATCTGGGGGATGCGAACCTGCTCTGCAGCCTGCGTAGGAGAGGAGTAACTAAAGGAGGAGCTGGTGGGGACAGCTTGGCAGAGGACAAGCTGTAGGGCCCCTGAGGGAGGATGGCAGAGCTGACCCCACCCCACACACCCAGCCACAGTCCCAGTGAGTGAAGCTGTCATCACGGGGAGAAGAGCTGAACGGTGCCCAAGACAGTAACACAAAGTTCCTTAGCACATCAGGGCCTTTCACTGTGCAGCAGGGGGCTGGTGAGTGTAGTGGCCAGTGGCCAGTAGACCCCGTAACATCTGAACAGAATGGGGAGGGGAGCACAAGACAAAGAGGATCTGAGAACATCGCTACTCTGCCCCACTGTGCTCTTACCACCACCATTTTGGCGGAACAAGAATGGCTTCCTAGTGAGAGGCAAGTCTGGAATGTCTAGAAAATAAATCTGCACGTCACCTTGGAAAACAAAGGGCTAGAAGTTGCCACACATCTTCAATGTGAGGCCGAATTTGAAACCAGGACCCTGTGTACTGCCACACGGAGTCCCTAACTGAAGGTGCCTGTGACCCCAGGTCCATATTACAACTATCTGACTAAAGAACAGCTTTATTGGTAACCTGAGGGAACAAAGGTTACTTCTAGGAGGTGTCAGCCAGCAAGGCCTTCTCCAGGCAGGAAAGACAATCACACAATTCATGAGAGAGGTCATTCCGAATTATATGAAACAAATCCCGATTTCAGAGTCAACAAAAAAGACAAGAGACTGGTGTCTTGACAGGTATCAGCATTCTTGCCAGTGGGGGCTCAGGAGGCTCGTGGGGTTCTTCAGTTAATATCTGTGGGGCTGTGCAGATGAGGTAGAAGCCAGAAAGGCCACAGGAAATGGCCCCAAGTCAAGTTTCCAAGAGGGTTCACGCTTGAGCAGGGCATGGAACCAGGCCCTGAGATTGCACTTTGGGTCTGATGGGGTCAAGTAGCTGAGCAGGCCTGGGTAGCAGAGAACCCCGCTACTGGCCCTCAGCCCATGGGAGCTCCATGGTCTGGGCTCGGTGGTGCCACCAGAGCCTGTCACATGTCCCAGCTCATTGCTGGGGCAGCCCCAGTTTACTGATGGGATACAGGTACCACATCACCACCCCTGAAGGGTTGATGATCACTGTGAAGGTGGTTTTATCTTGGAGGCCACTGATGACATCACCCGTGTAGACGTTCTGGGCCTGCAGGGGAGGAACATCACCAATGCCACTGTAAGAATGGCTGCACTGAGACCCCCTCAGAGCATGTAAAAGCCTGGATTTGGGCTTGTGTTGGCCTTCAGTGTATCCTACAGAAGTGGGAGCCCTGACTCTCTCATCCCTCCTCTACTAGCAAAGCCAACAGATGCCCCCAAGTAGGCAGTGGCAAAAGACCCAGCCCGTAGAGGACCTGAAGGAAATGCCAGCAAGGGCTGGCCAGTGAGGGGCAGCACACCGCCTCGAAGTGCGGGACTCACTGGTGCAGTAGTTCCGTGTGCGCTGCGTGAAACCAGCGGTGCAGAGAACACCACCAGCCACCACCCTCAGCGCCTGCAGCTGCCCCACGGGCGCTGGCCGGAGGACAGGAGGCCCACAGCTTAGGAAGGCCATGTGTGAGAGGACCAGCCAGCAACACCCTTCCAGGGAGGCCCGAAGCCCCGAGCAGAGCGCTCACCTCATACGTGCTGGAGCTGTGGAGGTTCAGCTTGGCGAGGGAACAGCGGTAGCGATGAGGCAGGTCGGTCCTGCGGCTGAAGAAGACTATGGCGCAGGCCTCGTCGGCCAGGGGCCGCACGAACACTTCGATGTGAGACCTCTCCTGGGCACAGGAGGTGGCTGCTGGCTTGGGTCCCTGCTCAGGCGGGCCCTGAAGTCCCATTCCCAGCCCTCCCTCGAGGTGCAGGTCCCCCGAGACCGTAATTCCTTGTCAGGCAGAAGCCTGGGGGCATCCCACAGCCCTCCAGCACCCTAACTTACTAAACTCCACTTCCCTTCCTTCCTTCCCGACTCAGCTGATGCTCCCCAACACTTACTCTGTGCCAGGCCCCATGTTAGGACACAGAGACAAATGCTTCATGAGGTCCTGCCTCAGAGAGCCTACAGGATAACAGGAGGGGCACACATGGAAGCTGCTGGCACTGGAGAGGGCACCGCCACTGAGAATGATGAACTCCGCCCTAAGGGGCCAGCGGGGTGAGCCCTCAACCTCCATAAGGCCCCGGGCCTGGCTGCAGCAGCCGCTCCTCTGGCAAAGATTAGTCATCTCCTCTGGGCACCACTAGTCCCACAGGTGTCTTCTATAGTTGTACAGCTTTGTTTTTACTCGAGAGGCAAGGATCTGTGCAGAGCACAAGCTTCGAGGCAACACTTGGAGTCAAGTGCCACTTACCAATTGTGTGACCTTGGGCTAAAGTTACTTAGACTCCTCAAGTCTGTTTATTCATCTGTAAAACGGAGGGAGTATTTACCTTCTGAGAAAATCTAGCTAGAATGCCTGGCTCCCAGTAGGTATACATAGCAAATGATAGTACTCAGAAGAGTTGTATTCCTTGGCTTCAACAACTCCTCGACTCTGGAGGGAAGCCCTAGTTGTCTGCTGGACATCACAGACGTGTGCAGAAGTCCTGTACTTCGCAGCCGAGGGGCCTCACCTTTCCCGTGTACACTTGTGTGGTGATATCTCCTTTACCCAAATCATATGAGCTGTCTTGCTCTGGCTCTGCTCTCACCCGGGCAAGTGGGGGACAGTGAGAGCAGCTCCCAGTAGTCCTTGGCTGAATGCAACGGGGAGGGGCTGCTGAGCAGAGCCCAAGCCTACCCCTCCACCCCCCACCATGACCTTTAGGCTTGCAGCCTTGTTCTAGGGGAAGCCCAGTCCCTCAGCCTCCCGTCCCCTCCCTCTCCACACCTCCTTGAGAACTCTGCGTCCTTGGATGCCTAAGGGATCCTGGTTGATTTTGATCATGAGTGGATTCTGCAGAATGTCCATGTTCTGGGCAGAGATCGTACGCAGGTCAGTGGACATGAAGAGGGGGGCTGCCAGCACTGTCCATAGGGCCATCTGGGCTCGGGCTTGCTCAAAGCTGAGGCCAAAGTTCCCAATTAGCAGCTGGGGGTAGAAGAGAGAAGCAGTCAGCTGTGCCCCTTCAGGGAGGTGGGTATGGGGAGCAAACCTAAACTTGTAGCTGAGGCAAGTCAGAGATGGGAGAGGATGGCCACCTGTGGGGCCTAGTTCCGTGAACGCCATTCCCTAGCAGTGTGGCCTTGGTATGAGTCAAGTCACTTCCCATCTAAGCCTCAGCCTTCACCAAGAATATGGGGGTGGTAATCAGCCCTGGCTGTACCCCAGCTTGTTCAGACAATCCAGTGGGATCCTGCTGCCAAAAAGCATTTATAAACTGGAACATGCAAGTCAAGAAATACAACCAGGGTAGCAGGGGTGGGAAACCAGACCTGGATAGAGTCGCTACTCCTGCCACTATCCACCCACATGCCATAAGCACAGAGAACTGGACCAATGGGGATTCAATCCACAGAAGAGACACAAGAGATCATTGCTTACACGTAATTATGTACTTAATGATACCAATTTAAGCATTATATATGTGCCGAACTCTGCCAAACATTTTATGGGGTCATCCATTTAACCCTAAGGTAGCTACTATTATTATTTGCATTTTCCAATTGAAAAACTGAGCCAGAAAAAAAATTCAGTTGCTTGCCCAAGATAAGTAGCACAGCTGGAGCTAGAACTGTCAAGCAGACCAATTTCTGTTTCTGCTGGTGCCTCCCCATTCTGGCCTAGTTATTTGTAACTATTAAAATCACCATTGGTTGTGAATGCTGATTGACTAAATGAAGAGATAGTTTAAAACCATAAGACAAATTGTCAAGAAATGTTAAGTACCACTCAGTGAGGTAGGTTTGAGGGGCCAGTTTGGCCTGTGGAGGCTTTGCACAAAATGTAACAGGGTACAGGGCACTGAGAACAGGGTCAGACACAGACCTGGCTAGGAATGTCTAGGGAGGGAATGGCAAGTGTGGATTATTCATGATCAGCATTCTGAGGAGGAATAATGTCTCACCAGAGTCACTACAGACCAAGTTCTCAAGTTTCCAGAAACATCGGAATTGCCTGGGAAGATTGTTAACAATGGGCATTCAGGCCCTCCCCAAACATTCTGATCCGCAAAGTGGGGGTGGGGCCCTGGGAACAGAATTGTAAAGAAGTTCCCAAGGCAACTATAATGTAGCTGGTTCAAGGACACATTTCAGAGACACTAATCTAGAACCTGGCAGAAGGTATCCAGGAAGAAAGCACAGGGCGATGGGAGCAGGTCCGTCATGGGCAGGGGGCCACCCCCCTTGGTACTAGTACCATGTCTGGGTCGTTCCAGTGCCCAGGGCCTGCCACAGGCTGCAGTATGTCCTGGTAGCGCACAAACCAGTCCAGGACGGACAGCACGCTGCTCCAGGAGTCCTGGATGTCATCGTAGTTGCGCCACAGGTTGCAGATGTCTGCCAGCAGACTGTAGTTCACCTGGATGTGAAGGAAGGCAGACTCCAACACCACTCATCTGCCACCCAGAGGCCCACCCAGGAGCTGGGGAGCCTCAGCAGGAGACACAGAGGGTGGGGAAGGGAAGAGAACAGGCCTTGAAACTGATCACGGTGAGGAAGGCCTCAGAGAGAACGGCCCTGTTCTGGGGCTGCCCAGGCCTCCCTTCCACGTGTGCTGGTGCCAGAAGCCTCCCTGCCCTGTCATGCCAGCCGGGGCCAAGGTCAGGGTACGATCCAGGCTGGTGTGCCCACAACCTTCCCGACTGCACACCCACCCTGTGTTCTCTCAGAGTTCCTGCCATCTGTCAGCTTTCCTCCTCAAGTGTGCAAGTCTGATCCTACCCTTCCTAGTGTCCTTGGTGCTGAGGGGTCCCTGGTGAGGTGCCCACAAGGCCTTTCAGAGGCTCTGCTCTACCTGCCTGGCCCCACCAGCCTTCTGGATCTCCTGGCCCGCTCAGTACAACCCAGGACTCTGACTGCTTGCTGGTTGGTGTGTGTTGGCACATGACACATGGTTCCTATGCCACAGATGCCCATCCCTTCAATCTACCTGACTCCTCTCTCAAGGCTTGGGGCTGGCGCAGGCCCCTCCGGGGTACTTGGGACCCTCTCATAAACCTATAAATCAGCACATGGGCAACTGCCAAGAGCAGCCCGACGGCACAGGAGGCGAGGAGGCCTGGGTGTGGGAAGCACTACCAGGCAGGTGCAGGGAATGGCTTACCTTGGGAGGGAGGCCCCCTTCATAGGCTGGCCAACTGCAGGATAAGGCGATGGGGCGGCCTGTGGCATTCAGGGCAGCAGCCATACTGGGGTACCCTGGAGCAGTCAAACACCCATGTTTTAGGACTGAGGAGGCACAGGAGGAAATCTAGGGCCTCAGCCCAAACCTTCTGCCACCAAATTGAGGAAACTGAGACTCAAAAGAGGCAATGCAGCCCCCTATATCCACAGTTGCAAACCGTTCCTGGATGGGGCATGGTGCCAACCTTTAGGGAACCTGGGAGCCAAGATCCCCCCAACTCCTGGTTGAGGGGAACTGGGAAACACTTCCCCCTAGGGGCCACACAGACAGACAAGCTCAGCCAGGTGGGCACCTGTGGGCCTTCCATGGGCACCCCTCTGTCTACCTGATGGCTCCTGGTTAGCTATGGGACCCACCCTTGGCCCGTTCCTCGGAGGTTGAGAAGCAGCCATCCAACTTCAGCATGTCCACCTTCCAGTCGGCAAAGGTTTGAGCATCCTGGACCACCTTGTCCAGTGTGATACCTGGGTAACCCATGCAGGTGAAGTTGCCCATGTCCTCATAGATGCCCAGCTTCAGGCCCAGGGAGTGAGCCTATTGGGGGGTTGAGGACACAGTGGGGTCAGTTAACACCCTCAGGGAGAAGCCTCACAGGAACATCTGACCAGGCCCCATTAAAACCTTCAATGGCTCCCCACTGCCCATAGAAAAGGGTCTCACCTTGCTGGCCTGGCCTCTGCCAACTATGTTCCTTCCCCTCCTTCCAACAAAACACCTCCCATGGGCTGTTTCTGACCTCTAGGCCCTTGCCTCTGCTATCTCCTCTGTTTTGATGTCATCTCTCTCTTGTATCAGTTCAAGAACTGCCTCTTCTGGACAAACTTCCTGAACTCCCAGGCTGGATAATAATCCCTTTCTGGCTCTCACCCACCACAATGGGCCAAACTAGCTGTTCACTTATCTGTCCCCCACTAGACTGTGAGTTCTCAAGCAGGGATTGTGGAAATGAGCCCTATGCAGGGTGGGGTGGCCACTGGCCAAAGGGCAGGGTTGATGTGGGGCTCACGTAGTCAGCTAGGAAGGCAATGCCATGAGGGAAGCGCTTGGGATCAGGCACCAGGCGGCCTGTGGCATCACGCCCACCAATCCAGCAGTCATCAATGTTAAGATATATGTAGCCCAGGTCCCTCCATCCATCCTGTGCCAGCCGGTCAGCCATCTCCAAGAAGAGCCGCTCACTGGCAAGGGACAGAGAATGGGGCAGCTCAGTGGGTATGAAGGGGGCCCCAACTCCCACCCTGTTCCTCAGAGCTTTTCAGACTTCTTGGCTGCTTTGCATGTGAATCCAAACTATGAGAACCCTGGCCTTGCTGTCAGCTGAACTTAACCAGGTAACAAATGTAATGATACCAGGGATTGTTTCACGAGCCATAAGCAGCATAGAGTGAAGGAATGACCTGGCCTCCAAAACAAAGGGGCAGGTCTGGGCCAGGGAATATGTGTAGGTCTAGCTTGGCCTTACCAGTTAGCTGCAAGGCTTAGAACCCAGGGCTCTACTACAGACCTCTGAGAGGCCTTGGAGGGGATTAGGGGTCAGCCAGGCTGGACCTGCACCTAGTCAGCTCACCTGGGTGAACTCTTTCTCTCAGGCCTCAGTTTCATTATCTGTAAGATGGAGTTACTGTACCAACTTTACAGGGCTGTTCTTAACACATGTTGATAAGATATGGTCTCTGCACTTTCAGGGAAAAGGGGATGGCAAGTCTAGCTTGGCCTTATCAGTTAGCTCAGGTTCAATAATCTCCAGTTTTGATTATAAATTATCTCAAGAGCTGTGTCCATCACAAGGTCCTTGCCCTACAGGCCTTATACTCCCACAGAGTAATACTCCCAAGCAGGTAGTGAGGCTGTCAGATGGCTCAAAAGTCACCTCTGGCTGCCTTCTGTCTAGGATGGGAAGGGGCATCTGACTCTATCTTCTTTTCTAGTTGACCCTCCACTCCTTACTCCACTCAGCAGAGCCCTGGGCAAGGTCTGTCAGGCTGCTCAGACCTTACTCACCTGATGCAGTTCTTTGGGTCCTCATCACAGTCGGTGTTGCAGCGGAAGCGTTCCCAGGCCAGCCAGCCCATGGGAGGCTTTCGCAGGAGCCCATTCTCCAGCACTAGGACCTGGCTCACCAAAGCCAGCAAGAGCACTGTAGGGGGGTTAGAGGGATGACTTTGAGTGGCTCCCATAACCCCAGCTCTCACTGCACCCCATCCGTATGCTGTTCAGTTCTACAGAGGTTGCCAGCCTGCACATTAGGGGAACTGGGCTTGGGCTTAACGTGGAATTGGCTCTTCCTGCAACTGCTGTCTCATGCAGTGCAGCGAGTGGGAAGATGGTGCCTGGGACAGGGCACTGTGTTTGAGGCCTGGGTCCTCCCTTGCTATTGTCACTGCAGTGCTGGAATCAGCAAAAACTAACACCTGTGGTCATATCCTTTTTCGTCCCCTGACCCCATGACCATTCGCACAGAACTACTTGAGAGTACACTCCTGCCAAATTCCAGGTCTCTCGAGTCCCAGCCAGGGCTTTACTACAGACCTCCAAGAGGCCTCAGAAGGGTTAAGGGGCCGGCCAGGTTGGACCTGCACCTAAACAGCTCACCTGAGTGAGCTCCTTCCCTCTCGGGCCTGTTCTGTTATCTGTAAGATGGAGTCACTGTACCAGCTTTACAGGGCTGCTCTTAGCACGTGGTGATGGCACATAAGATACGGCCTCTGCACTTTCACAGAGAAGGGGATGGGAAAGGAGGAATCCCCTTTGGAGGAGAACTGATTCCTAGGTGGGGAGTGGCTCCTCCTTTCTCTGCCCAACTCCAAGAATAAGAGGAACATGTCTCCCCACTTTCATCAGGGAAGAAGGCCCAGACACCACAGGGCTGGAACTTCCTTCAGATAGCCCCCACCCCCAACTGGTCACCTACCCTCCCAAAGCCACCCTCCGACCCCGTGTATGTACCTGTCTTCAGCAACATTACTCTCTGCTCAGCGTCTCAGCGACTTGACCAGATCTGCTCTCCTTATACCAGCCTTGTATGTTGGGCTTTGGAAGCTACGGAACGTTGGAAAAACACTGGGGTCACTAATGCCTGCCTAGCCCTGCCGCTCTTAACCTTGGTTCGTGGATTCCACACCAGGTCCCCAAGCTCCCACAGCTCCCACGTCCTACACCAGCCAGCACTTCCCGGACCCTGGCTTCTTCCTTCAGAAATACCAACGAGGTGTCTTCGACATTAGACACCCACACCCTCCGCAGTTGGAAACCCCGAGCGCCAAGGGTGGCCTCCGCCCGGCCGGGGCCATTGATCGTCTCGAGGACGCCCATAAAGAACCGAGGCACCAAGCCGTCACCAAGCCAGCACAGGTTGTGGACGCCCAATGGGGTCTGACTGCCGCCCCCGGGCCCTAAGAACCGCAGGCTCAGCATCCCAGGGCGAGGACCTACCCCGACCCCGAACTCACCTGAGTGAACTCTTACCGACCGGCGGAGATCCCTTCTGACGAGCTCAGAACTGCCGCGGGTTTCTGCCTGCGGAGCAGCGGAGTGCGGCAGTCACCTGACTCGCCGTCTACGTTCCATAGGGGGCGGGGCCTGGTGGCGGCCAACCTTCCCGAACAGAACCTATCAGAATCCCCCGAGCAGCGTCGTGTCCCGCCCCCAAAGCCCCGCCTCCCTGGACATCTGCCTGCGCGCTCAGGATTCCGGAGGAGCAGGGGTTGGATTAGGGACCGGAAGACCTGCTAGTGTCTATCGCGGTTCCTAACAAGACTAGTCCTTTCACCTCCGAGAGGTTGCTGAATGCGAGGATAGTGCCTGGCACAGCGTAGACGCTCAGTTAGCAGCTGTAGCGCGAATACTTGCTAGGAGCTTCGTTAAGAAAAGGGAGAGAATGCCCTGATTCGTGGCATGTAGCAAGCCGCTCAGAAACGGCAGTTGAAGGTGAATAGGCACTACAAGGAGGATGGGTGGGAGAAAGCAAACCAGGTGGAGGACACAGCTTTTGCAAAGCCGGAAGACTCTCCCCGCCCCTACCTGACACTCCGGCCACCGGTTTTGCTCGCCCAGGCTTATCCCTTACGCCTTTCATTTCTCTAATATTTCTTGAGCAAGTGTTAGGTGCCAAATCTTTATCCTCAGCACCTCCACTTGGATGCCCGTCAGGCTTCTCAAGCATAACTGCCTCCAACACTGAACACCTGGTATCTTCCATATCTCAGGTAATGGTGACTCTCCCTCCAGGTGCTCAAGCCAAATCCTTAGAGTCCTTCATGCTACCTCTTTCCCTCAGTCCCACATCCACTCGTAAACCTTTCACTCACTCTCCTTCAAACCTACCCTGAGCCTGGCCACCTCTCACTGCTCTCCCAGCCCCAGCGCATCTTGTCTGGATTATTACGGCAGCCTCCCTTACCTATCTGCTTCCACCTACATTTATTCTCTCCGCGGTAGCCAGAGTAATCCTTTAAGACATAGCTGGAGTCACTCCTTGCTCAAGCCCCTGTGGTGGCTGTTCATCTCGGTCTGGAGTGACAGCCCTGGCAGACTTACACGGCATTTCTGATCCCATCTCCTACTGGTCTTCTCGCCCTCCCTGCCTCCCTGCCACACTGGCCTCCTTGGATTTCCTCAAACACAAAAGGCCTCAGGGCCATTCCCTAGCTGTTCCCTCTTCCTGGAATGCTGTTCCTCCAAAGTTTGGCATGACTGGCCCCCTCATTTCCTTCAAGTGTTTCCTTCAAGTATTTCTCAAGTGTCACTTTCTCAGTGAGGCCTACCTTGGCCATTCTATTAAAAATGGCAAACTCCCGTTTCTGCAATTCCTAATCTCCCTGTCTCTGTTCTATATGTTCCACACCACTTACTACTACTTAAACACATTTGTGAACGTTTCTATTATTCACTGAATAAAATTTTGTGAGGGAGACATATAACAGGAAATAAAAGCAGGAGTGTAGGGAAGTTTCTAGAGTAGTTATTGCTATAATGAAAATGCAACCCAGGAATGCGCCGTAGACTTGAGGGGTGAGCTACTTTACCACCCACGGTCAGGGAGGGGTCTTTTGAGCTAAGACCTAAGGGAGGTGAAGGAGCCTGAGGAGTTAGAGCTGAAGGGTGTGCGTGAGGAGGAGGAGCGTGGCGGGTTGCAGGAACTGCAAGGGCCGAAGGTCTGAGGCGGAACCATGGTCACATATTGAGCTCAAACCCCAGCCTCCTGCCTTCAGTTGTGCGCTCCTGCGACTTTACCGTGGACAGTCCCGGGGCAGAGCCTGGAGTTGCAGGTCCGCGGGAGCAGAAATGGATACTCCCCAGAAGTAGAGATCCCGCCGCTTCCAGGGGCCGGGTGGCTGCTGGAAGTTCAGCGGGCCTCGCGGGCTGGATAAGAGCCCGCCCAGAGGAGGTGCCGGGCCGAGGCTGTCCCAGGCTTGGCCCTGGAGGAGTGGGCCGGGCGGGGAAAGGGGGGCTGGAGGGGAGAAGAGGACTCCAAGTTCTGGCATTGGGCTGGGTCCGAAGCGCACGGGTCGCCTGGGGCAGGGCCCTGGGTTCGAGGCCGCCCGCCACTGACCGGCTCTGTGGCTCAGGCAGGTCCCGGCCTCTCGGGCCTCAGTTTCCCTACCGCGTGGATCAAGGGGCGGATTAGCGGACAGCCCGGTGAGCGGTGGGTGGGAAGGGGCGGGGGTCTCCCGGGCGGGGTCTCCCGGCTCGCGCAGGCACACTCGCGGTCCGGCGGTGGCGCGCGTTTGGAGCCGGGAACACCCCGGGAGACGGCTGCACCCCGCCGGGCCGGCCTCCTGGCTTTGGCGCGCTCGACTGCGCGGAGGTGAGAGTTCCTGACGGGCTCGGGAGGCGGCGGCCCCGGGGAAGGCGTGGCTCGCAGGGACTTGGCAGGAGAGCCCCACCTAGCGGATGGGGAAACTGAGGCGGAAGCTGCCCTCCGAGTCCCGGGTGAGGCGACCCCTGATTCAGGGCAACAGCCGGGCAGGGGCCTGCCGCTCCTCTAACAAAAGAGCCGGAGAGACGTGGTGCATCGGCCTCCCGCCGGATGTGAGATTCCCTCCCAGGAGTGCGGGGCGGGGCGGGGGGCTCCCCTTCCTTCCGCAGGCACGCGCGGGGCCCGAGCACCGCTGCGCGGCCTCCGGACCCCTGTCCACGCCGGGGCTGGGTGGGCCGGCGGTAAGGCCATTCATTCCGCGGCCAACCTCTGGCCTCCTCTCCCCCAACCCCGGCCCCTGCTCGTTGATGTCCACCGCCCTCAGCAGGACTGGTCCTTAAGTTAGTTATCTCATTAATTTTTAAAGTCATTTGTTATTATTTGTTTTTGTCTGTTCAGAGTGTGTCCCCACAGCTGGAATGTAGGCTCTAGGAGGGAGGGACTTGGTTTTGTCCATCGTTGGATTCCCAGTTATTTCAACAAATACTTCCTGAGCGTCTCTTCCTGCACCCGGCTGGATAACAGAGGCTATTCCAACTGCCAAGCCGAATCCCGCCCTAGACATTCCGGGTCTGGACAGCACTGTAAGCACAAGGAAGGTCACTGTGGGATGAAGGAAATGAAAACACAAGTGAGGGGGCTGCTGGTTGGGTCACCTTGGTGATTAGGACCACTTTAGATATAGTGATATATCTAAATATATGTATGTGTGTGTATATGTGATGCTATGTACACATATATTGTATATTGTATATTACTATATATATTATACTATATTATGTAACATTACATATTCTTATATTATTGCATATTATATATATTATATTAGGTAACTTAAAGCCCACAAATAAGTGATAGAAGGGAAAAACAGGAAGCTATGAGGGTGCTTAACTCTGACTTGGCCTTAGTGAGTAGAGAGCTGAGGTCTGAAGAGTGAAAGTCAAGACAACAGGACCCAGCCCCTTAAAACTGTTCATAAATGCCTGGCCTAAATGGGTGAGGGGATTTCAGTGGTCAGGGAAGTCTTCCTGGAGGAGGTGGTGGTTTCAGTGGGCCCCAAAGGCTAAGTAGGAGTTCACATCTTTCAGGATGGGTTGACTAGGTTTGAGAATTGTTTTGCAGGTACTCTGGGAACCATGTGGTCAAAGCGCTGAGTGGTGTGACCAGACACGAGAGGCCCTTGCCCCAGCCCAGTGGGCTCTGCTGGTAAGTGGATCATTCCCAAGACTTGCCCCCAGAAATTGTGAGGGAATCAGGAGACCAAGCTCTGCTTCCCACTGGTCATGTGACTTTGGGTAGTTTCCCTTCACTGCTCTGGGCCTCACTTTTCCATGAGTCAGGAGGACAGCTGAATTAGGTACCACTTAGGATCCCTGGGATGCCAGTGTTCAGTGGCTGAGACTGCTCCTACTCAACTGCCCTGTGCTTGTATCACATTCTTGTTCACTGAGCGGGTCCCCATCTGACTCTCCACTGTCTGGAGAAATGAGACAGGCCTGCCCTTCTCTGCCCCATCGACCCTGAAGGCTGCAGATTCTTACTAAAGGACAACTGTGCCATTAACAAATGAGAGGCCAGCAGGAGCCCACAGAAACCTTAGAGGTTTGGCCTCAGTGTTGGACCTAAGGGGCCTCCAGACTAGGGGCTTATGTAAACAAATGGTTTCTATGGGTTTGGGATCCATTTCAGCTCAGCTGATGGATTTTTCTTTGGATCTTATAATGTCAAAGTCCTGCCATACTTCCAATCTGATACAGTCACGTTATCGTTTTCTCTGAGTCCTCTGATGTCCAGTTTTTTTGCATGACCCTCACAACAACCCTTTGAGAGAAAAGGCAGGGGAGGCTAGCCCATTTCACAGATGAAGATACTGAGCACTCAGGGCACAAAACAAGTGAGTAAAGGCAACAGGGCTGGGGCCCAGGGTCCTCCAGAGCCAGACTCCTTTCCCCATAGGGGGACAGGGGCTGCCCCCTCTGATCCTTGGCCACCTCTCTCACCTCACAGTTCTTATCAGAGCCATGAAGCTGAATGAGAGGAGTGTGGCCCACTATGCACTGAGCGACTCCCCAGCAGACTACACAGGCTTCCTGCGCACTTGGAGGGGGCCAGGGACTCCACCCACCCCCAGTGGCACTGGCCGAAGGTGCTGGTTTGTCCTCAAGGGCAACCTGCTGTTCTCCTTTGAGAGTCAAGAGAGCCGGGCGCCACTGAGCCTGGTGGTGCTGGAGGGTTGCACAGTGGAGCTGGCTGAGGCTCCTGTGCCTGAAGAGTTTGCCTTTGCCATCCGCTTTGACGCCCCTGGTGTGCGCCCATTCCTGCTTGCAGCAGATGGTCCAGAGGCCCAGGAGGCCTGGGTGAAGGCACTGTCCAGGGCAAGCTTTGGCTACATGCGCCTGCTGGTACGCGAACTGGAAAGTCAGTTGCGTGATGCCCGTCAGAGCCTGGCTTTGCATCGCCGCTCATCTTGGAAGACTGTTACCAACCGCTGTAAGCCCCAGGCTCCTGAGCACTGGTCTTCGGGCCTGGAGAATGGCCACTCCCCGCCCAGGGATTGCAGCCCCAAGGGCTTGACAGAAGAAGGGGGCAGCAGGTCACCATGGTGGGGCTTGCCCGAGGGGGAGTTGCATGGCCCTACCAGCTTTCCAGGCAGGTGGCAGAGCCCTGTGACCCCTGAGACCTCCTGCTTTGCTACCCTGCACAATCGATATGGCCAGGAGATCATGGAGCTGAGACGGAGGTGGCTGCAGAGGGTCCATGACAGACAGCCAGAATGTCAGGAACAGGATAGGCCCTGAGTCTGGGCCTTTCTGATTCTGCCCTTATTCTGCTGGTCAGACACCAAGGCCAGTGCTTTTTCAGGGCTTTAATGTTTACTCATTCCTAAGGATGCTTTTATTTTTAGAGGGTTTCTCTCTTTCCTGAATTTTAGGCCTTCTCCAGGTTCAGATCCACCCTCATGCCCATAGGGGACAGAGGAATCATTACTTCTAACCCTTTATTTCCTGAGGCCCAGAGAGGAGAGGTGGCTTCCTCAGCAACCAGAGTGAGAGCCAAGTCTCCGGACTGCACTGGACTGCCCCCTCTCAGGGTATACTAATGAAACGGAGGAAGCGGGGAATATTCCACGGCCACTGGTCATCCTGCCTTTCACCTGCACGTCAGACTCTACAAACACAATTTCCAAAATGGAGAGTCTTGTGTAGATTTAAATACCAGAAGTTGGCTGCAATGTTGTCTTGAGGGACTAACGTTGCCAGAGAATGTTAATAAAAGTATTGTTGTGTCATGGGGGTTTCTGGGGCCCAGCTCTGACTGAGTGGTGGGAAGACTGGTCATGGGACCCCCAAGTCTTCAGTTTAGGACCCTTTGGAGGGAGAAAGCCCTCAGCCAATAAAGAGAGACTTATTCTGCTCAGAGAGTGTTGGGGCCCTGTCCTCTCTCCTTGGCTGCTCTGTCAACAGTGGGTGCTGGTCACTGCCCCAAGAGGGGCTGGTAGCTTTTATATGCCAACAGAAATCCTTCCTGTACTCTGTCCTCAGCAGCCAGTTCCTGGAGCTGTCAGGTGGGAAGCTGAAGATGTGGGGAGACAGCATGACTCACTGGGAAAGCCAGATTGTTACTTCTGTTTTTTCAGTCCTGGGCATTCCAGGAGCTTGGGCACAGGATTTCTGACACCCTGTGATAAACTCTTCTTTCCTGACCAGGCTCCCCAAAGGTGTTCCTAATCCCGAAACCCCCCAGGAACTCGTTCACGGTCCTGCTTGTTTCCCTGTGTCTGGCTGCCAAGACCCTCTCATTGCACGGCACCAAGTGTTTGCTTACTCTGGGAGGCACAGTGGCTGGCCAGACTAGCCTGACACCCTAGGGATGTGGTGGCAATGACTGGAAGATAGTTTGGACACACACTCCGTCTTCCTTGATACACACAGATACACACAGGTTGCCCCTTCCTGGCTTCTCTCTTTCTTATTGGCTGGGGCCTTGGGCAGCGTGACCACGGCTGGACGCTGCGAGTCAGAGCCTCTTAAACCCAGGAGGCTCAGATGCCAGCCAGGATACAGGACCCATCCCCACCCTGCTGGTTTCCCCGGAGGAAGGGCCAACTTCCCAGCCCTATGAGGGAGCCCCACAGCCCACACCTTGTTTTATACATAGAAACTGTTAAGTTTTTGTTAACTTTCTTATTGTTAGTATTTTTTATACAATTAAAACTAAGTTTTTTCTTTACTTTTTTGGTTCCTCAAGTTTATTTCAATCACCTGGACAGTTTGTGTGAAAGCTCTCATTTCCCCCCTTTTCAGATATAGTTTCCGTATGGCTATATGTAACATGCCTGGGCATGAAATAAAATTCCAAAATCAAGTTGTACAACTAATAAATTTGAATTGTATTTTTTAGTGTTAAAAGAAAAATACAATGGTTTGAGGTTCAATTAAATGACTTTTCACTTTAAAATCTACTGCTCTGCTAAACTCTGGCTATCCTGGGTTCGAGGCCAGTAACACAAATGGGAAGGCCTCACAGGGACGAGCGCATTCGACGGCCCAGCAGCCCACAGCGCCGGTAAGAGGCTAGTACTGGGGCGGCGGCATCGTCCTCGTGACGTCATCGCGTCGGGGCGGTGACAAATACCTCTTTCGCAACAAGAACTAGACTCTGCGCAAGTGTGAGGGCTAGGCCTCACGTCAGCTCCCGAAAGCCTCGCGAGGTTTGGGGCGGTGTTCTTCCAGAGGGCTTCACCCGATTCGGTCGGGGTGCCCGGGCTAGGGGCGGAGCTGGAAGATGGCGTCTGGAGTGGCTCGCCGGCTGGCAGTGGCGCCTGTCCGAACCAGGATTTTCTGGAGCGGGCCGAGTTTGAAGGGAGGTAGCGATGTCTCCGCCGGACGGGGCAGCTCAGGTCGGAGTTTGGTACCGTCGAGGTCAGTCATCGTTACTCGCAGCGGCGCCATTTTGCCCAAACCGGTGAAAGTGAGTGTCTGCCTGGGGGCGGGGCGAAGGGGCCGAGGCCAATCATTGTGGGGAATGTGCGCGGGTCAACGCTGATTGATAGGAACAAAGGCCAATCAGACGACTGCCTTAGACTGGAAGACGGATCAAGGACAGTTTTTCGCTAATACCGCTGCTAATTTTGACAGGTGGGAGGAAACGGTCGGTTTGGAGCCAGGTGTTGAGCTGGCTGCGTAGAGATAAAGATTGGGGCTGGCAGCACTAGCTTATTGTAAGGAGCGCTGTGTCCTAGATCTCCGAAGACAAGAGACTCGGCTTTATGCAAACAATATAGACCTCTCTATCTCGTAAAATCGATGGAATACAAAACAAATTGTGAAATAACTTTATAAAGGGTACGACGTGAGACAGGCCTTATATTTTTATGAATTTTGACCTAGTATTTAATTCATGTGATTTTCAGCCCTGAAAGTGTGCAGGGAATCAGTTACAGTCACTCTCTACAAATGAAGTGAGAATCGGGTGGTAAAGGAGTGGTGAAGACAGTGTCCAAAGCTTGCAGCTGAGTTAGGATTCCAGGTTTCCTGGCTTAAAATTCCCACCAGGTCCTGTTTTTTCCCCTACTGAATGCTGTCACATAGTCTCAGTAACTGCGTTTTTCTAGTAAAATGGAAACAGTCTCCATACCAAAGCAAGTTAGTTCTTTGACTCCAGAGCTGTGTAGGAGTTACAAAAGTACTTTTAAAGCTAGTCGGGCCAATGTTACCTCACACAGACAGGGTTATCTCACAGCAAGAAGCAGGATCCATGTTGGGGAAGAGCTGCCTTAAAAAAAGGCACAGGTGAAAAAAAGTATTTTTAAGTTCCATAGGAAAAATGAGAGGAAATGGTTAATTTTACTTAAACTCCCCTAATTCATCCAAGTAGCTGGTCTTTTAATGTAGAGGCATGCTCACTTTTCAAAACACACGTTTCTAAAATTTAATGTGAAATCAAAATTTTCAGGCACCAGGAACATATTAAAGAACTATTTAGAACATCTCTTCACTGTACATATACATTTTTTTGTACATATACCATATTTCATGTATTTACTGTTGTCTTCAAGCAGAGCTGAACTCCATTTCCAGACTAGCTCTTAAAACTTTCTCACCCTCTAGTATCTAACTGCCAGGTTGTGCCCTCAGTTTTAGATGTCTAGACTGCCTTATATTTTTTCCAGTAAACACTTTGATGACCATAAAATCACCTTTATATCTTCTAATCATTCTTGCTCTGAATTTTTCAAAGAACTTTAAAATCAAGTTGCTTATGATTGTCTGGGGTCAGAAGGAGGGAATGCCCCTGAGAGGGCCAGGCCTCCCCTGGTCCCCCAAGAGTGCCTCTGGAGCTCCCGCCCTGGCTCTGACTGTTACAGATGTCCTTCGGCCTTCTCCGTGTGTTCTCCATTGTGATCCCCTTTCTCTATGTTGGGACACTCATTAGCAAGAACTTTGCCGCTCTACTTGAGGAGCATGACATTTTTGTCCCAGAAGATGATGACGACGATGACTAACAGGTAAGACTTGCTTTACCCTGAATGGACCAGGAGCAGGAAGGGGGGTGTGGGTGCGGCATCTGAACTGTGATGCAGTTTGGCCTGGTAGCAGCATCTGGACACTCGAAGCAGAAGCACAGACCTTTAATGAATTGACTCACTTGGTGGCTCATGTTTTTCTTTTGCCTTTTCTCTACATTTGATGAGGGAAATTATTTTATTGACTTAAAAACTGTGTCTCTTCCAACTAGGTCAGATCCCAGACAGCCTTTTCATTTGCCCTTTATGTACCCATATTCTCTCAACCCACCCATCTACAAACAGCCTCATTTCAGAAGCTCCACCTTGAAATTTAGAAACTGCATGTCCTCACCAGTCAGCTCTGGTTACCCAGCTCTGCACCGGAACAGCCCATACGCAGGCCCTACAGCAATGGTTCATACTCTGCTCAGAAACCTTCCCCGTGCCGAGCCCAGCCCAGCCAGCTTTCCTGTGCTGACTTCCAGTGCTCTAATATGTGCTGTGTGGCTACTGTACTGTTGTAGATAAGGACACCCTGACTCCTGTGTCTGGCATTCAAGGCTTGCTATGATCTGGTCACACCTGTTAGTTCAGCCTCATCTTCCATATTCTGAGCCACACACCTGTCCCCGGTATTCACAGTTTCTTGAATTACCCACACTCTTAGCCACTCCCAAGCAGTGGCTCCTTGTTCCTCTCAATTTGAAGGCAGTTTCCCACTTCTGTGTCTTCCTTCTACCAATTTTTCCTATCTTTCATGAAATCTTCTCTCATTCTTTTATTTAAAAGTGACCGATCTGCCTTGACTCACCTGTACCTCCTGTGACACTCAGCGTTATATGCTTAAGCACATAGACATTCGCAAACACTACTAGGCTATGAGCTGCTTGCTGGCAGGGAATGTTTTTAATGTGTATACCTTACCTTTGGGCCCTCAGTGCCTGGTCTCTGCTGAATGCTCAGTAAATGTATGAATGAATAATCCAATGTTCTCTCAAGGCCAGAGCCACTCTGGAATTCTTTTTCAGTATGTGGGTAGAGCTGCTGTTGCCCAGTTCACTGCTGCTTTCCTTTCTTACAGGGCACAGAGGAAGCACAGGAGAAAGCCCTAACTTACTAAGAAATGGTGATGCTCGCAGCCTCTCATCCTTCCCTATCAGTAGAAGAGCCCGGGGAAGGCCCTCAGCCTCCCAACTCCAGTGAAGCCTTCTGCATGGTCTGTGACCACAGCCCAGATCCCCAGGCTCTGGGAGGTTCCCAGAGATGTGCTGTCCACTGGGCACAGTCAGATCATGAATAAACATAATAAATGTCAGCTCTGTAAGACTAAGGGACAACTGAAGTTTCTCAGTACAAGCAGGTTCTAGTTGCAGTTTCTTGTCCCTGCTGTCTTTTCTCTCAGCTGAATATAGAAGCCATTGATTTACAACCTAGGATCTCCAGGCCCCTGAAGATCCACAAAGGTAATTATGGGGACCTGGGGCTTATTTTCATTATTTAAAAAAGCCCAACATAAACTGTTTTTCCTCAGTAAAGCTGCACAGGCTACTGCGGCTTTTTGTGTGTTGAGTAACACTGGCTAGTTATCACATGCCAGTGCTTAAAAACTCCTTGAGAAATGTTAGAATGATTCTCTCAAAACTTGGGTTCCTAGATGAAACATAGTAAAGGGGGTGCTGATGCTGAAAAATTAGGGAATCCTTAGGGTGCCTGTACCTATAGATACTTAACCCCTTTGTCCAGCATTTAGACTGTCTAGGGAAGGAACAGAGACTACCGTCCTGGGCGAACAGCCTGACCAGTTCTTTAATCTGGGTCAGTGTTTATCTTCCTGTCTTCTAGAGCTACGCCCCAGTCTGCAAAAACAGCAGGAATATTTTTGTGCTCTGCATGTGCGTTCACAGCTGTGGCCCTAACAGAGTGCCTGAGGAGGACGTTAATTCCATTTTAAGGACTGGTGCTTGTTGCAACAGAGGTAGAGCCTCTGAGCAGCCACTTTCTTCAGAACCCAGGGAAAAATAGTCAACTTGTCAGCTCTACTTTTGTGTCCCTTACTGCTGTTCTAATCCCTCTGTGACAGCAAGAGCTGGCTAATTTTGGGAAATCTGTGCTGTGACAAAGCTCTCCAATGCTGGAGGCTGTAGAAACACAGCTCAATTAACCAAAGTCATCTAGCCACATACCCTGAATGACAGTTTCTGAGTACACGGTCTCATACTTCGTGTACTGACATGCAAGATTCTTGGAAAAAAGAATCTTAAATTTACAGGAAACTACACTTCAGTAAAAAGGAAAGAACAGGTGGTGTGTATATTAAGCCTCCACTTGTTAAGGCAAAAAGTGAGGGAGACTGGCAGTAGAGCTTCCCACTGATTCCCCAACGGAACTCTACCATGAAATGAACATCATATATTGAATTTATTTGTGCTCTAAAATATTTAAATTATATGCACCTTTCCACTGAGTAGGACTTCACGGGTCATGGCCAACATAAAACTTGGACAGGAAATCCTTTGGCCTTGGTGCTTCTGTTTCATGGAAGAACCGCATGATGTGCGTCCGCTGCTTCCACACTTTAATCGTCTCCTCCAGTTCCATCTTTCCCTGCACGAGTGGGGTAAGAGGTCTTCAGTCAGAGTGGCTGAGTGGAAGGAATACAACGGTGAAGGCCAGGGCACACTGCTCTGCTCTGGTCACTGACTTGCTGAGGGACCTTGGGCAAGTAACAGTCTGTCGAGCCACAGTTTCTACATCTGGAAAGTGGGGTGGTTGTACTAAATGATCTTTAAGGCCTTTCAGATATTCTTTTAACTCTGTGGCTAACAGGTTCCAAGAGGACAGACTTCCGAGACTTCCATGCCCCACAACTACCTAATCTGACTGGCTTAACTTACGTTTCTACTTATCACTCCTTCCATGTTATTTACTGGTCCACGCTGAAGTTCCCATTGAAGCTGATATGACCGACCAGAGAGATGGAATTAGTCCCAGGATTGGACCCCATTTATGTAGGACCCAGCCAACTGGCCTGCCTCTTCCAGCTGTGAGCTGGCAACCAGGTGGGGCAGTTAACTTTCAGGGATGAGGTTCAAGAAGGGTTTAACCTTTCCTCATGCCTTTTTTTAGTTTTAAACTGCAAACCCCAGCGGATTTTTCCCTTGATCAATCTTATAATCTATTTAATCAGATAATAACTTCCAAGTTCGGCTGTTCCTTTGAAACACTAAGCAACAGTTGCTGATCCAGTCGTTGCTTTTTAAATTTGGAGAAAAAATGTTCACCTGGGAAGAATGAGGACAAGTTAGCTGCTCTTTTAAATCAGGGAGGGTCAGTTACCTTAATGACCAGAAGATCAACCACCCTGGGGTCTGTGACATGGGCATTCTTCATAAACATTTCTCGGACTTTATCCCGTCCCTGTTTCACAGAGATGTCTAGCTGGAATAGGTGCACTATAAAGAGAAAACACAATTCAGGGTAGGAATTATATGGTTAAAATGATATTTTAAAAATATTGAGTCAATGGATATTCATTCTGAATACATACAGTTTGCCCATCCACTCCATTCACCAAATATTAGCCTGACCCTAAGCTAGGTGCTTGATGTGAAGAAGTATGAGACATGGTGCTTGCTCTCAAGCTTACATTTTGTTTGAGGTGACAAGACTACTGTCTTTAAAAGGTGTTACAGCATAGTTCAAGAGTGAACAACCTGGGTTCAGATCCCAGCTCTTGTCATTTACCAGCTATATAATCCTGTGGATATTTATGAGTGAAATGAGGATGATAACAGCTGTTGTGAGGATTCACTGAGATAATGCAATTTGCTTAGAGCAGTGCCTGGCAAGGAATAAGTTCTCAATAAATTGAGACAGTATTACTGTTACATGGAACTGGCAAAATATAACAGGGTTGAAACTGATGTAATATGATCTGGCGTAGATTTGTGCACCACACAAACTTTTTTTTTACTTAGAGGAAGGCTGCTGAGTGCATAGGTAGGGAAAGCATTTAACTACCAGATTAGGTCACTTGGGGGAAGGAGAGAGATGTTTAAGATGTAGCTCCTGATCTCTAGGCCTTAAATTGTAATGGGAGGGACAGCCATCTCTGAATGCAACCATAAAGTCGCAACATTGAGCAATCCCTGATTAAGTAAGTGCCTAAAATAATGACACAGCCTTAGTGACCTGGGCCTTCAGAAGAGACAAATGAATGTCCTTTGAAAACTAGGTTTTAGTCATTTGTACTCCCCTCACCTGGAAGTCAGCCTTCAGTGGATTTGCTGATGTCAACAAAGGCATGAAGAGGGCCTTGTGTGCACATGGAATAAAGATAGGAAGAGGGGCAGAGCAGACAGAGGGGAGGGCGTAAACAAGGCTCACAGGCAAGACTGAACGCTGTGGTTGAGTCCACTGCTCGTTTGGGGAGGATGCCTGGCAGTGAAGCATTCCTGTGATAGGTCCAGTCCAGTCTAAAGAACTATCACAATAAGCCCTGAAAACCCTGAAGGTTCTTTAGTGACTGGGTTAATCAACAATAAAGTCTGAATCTAATTATTTTCGTAACAGTGACAGCAATAGGAAAGTAAAGCTTTTACAAGGGGAAATTCCATGCCATGCTGATTCA